TGCTTCTTCTTCATCTGTCTGTTTCAATAATAAAAATGGGCAAATTATTTATGATGTTATGCATTACAATCATTCAGTTTCACATAGATAGAAGTCGTCAGTCAAAGGCGCCACCATTTCTAAAATTACCCTCTAATGAAAATTCCTAGAGAGTATTTGGATCAGGATGAATGGGGCTGTGACGTCAAAGCGGGGGGGGAAAAGCCCCATAAAAAATCACCATCCCTAAGCTCTATTTTTTAATCATGTCGCAAATCTGAGAGCTGATTTTCCCACACTAAATAAATGAGATTGATGGATTTCTCTTCGTCGGAGGCTGAGCTCCGGTGTTTCTACATTCCCTTTGTGTAAGTCAAACTAACACATGCCGTAGGAGGCCTTGAAATGGAAGCCACGAGTGGCTGCCCTTACATAAGAATATCAGTGTCAGAGCCGCGAGTGAAACTGTTACATTATGTACAAAAAGTTGGATCCAAAAGGATGAAGCTGAGGACGACCCCCCAGGGGAAATCATCGCTGCGTAGCAGCAGCAGCAGCAGCAGCACAGTCTGAGAGACTGCAGTGAAAAGAGATAGGAATCACTCAATGACACACACACACACACGTACACACACAGACACTATGGAGTGTCTGTGTGTGTGTGTGTGTCTCTGATTGAACTGGAATGAGATCAGACGCGTGAGTCGTCGCATATTGAATCTTAAATCCCGGTTTATTTGAATTGTCAACATGTATGCAGATGAGACTGTGTCATGAACGAAAGCGTGACAGTCTTGATTCACCTTTCCCTGAAGATTAGATCTGCGCTCTTCAAAGAATGGGTCAAGAACAAGAGATGGGTCGTAGGGTATATTTTCAGGTATGGTCACAGAGAATAATCTGCACGTCCAATTTCGACTACAGCCTCATTTATTCAGTTAAAAACCCTGCTGCTCTCAGCTCTCCTGCACTAATTTAAGTAAAAGAAAACAAACTTTCACTGTGCATTTTCTGCACCTTTAAACAAATTAATTGAATTCCGTGATGTCCAATCATCCTGTTTGGCTAAATTTAAATGTTTGGTTGGATTGGTTCCACACCTTATTAGCAACTCTGTTCTGAATGGCTACGTTTGACACCATTATTTCAGCTGTTGCTGAAAACTGGAGGATGGCTTTGAGTAACCATGGAAACGGTTGGGCAGCGAGGCAGGATTAATTGTTGTGGTTATGAAGTAAATACAAAGAGGTGCAGTGCTCATGGTCACGTGTGGTCTACTGGGGGATGCAGACCATAGTAGTGTGGCCCAAACTGAAAGACTCGTCCAAGTCCGAGTCGAGTATCAAGTCCTAAATGATAGAAATGACTCTTCTTCCAGCAGATTGGTCTGGATAAGAGTACGTTGTACTACTAGAATATGACGTTTTCTGCTGTAAAATGAAAGCATAGTTGTACAGCACTAATACTGCAGTACAATGCAGTACGAACCCGCCTATCCTTCTGTTTGTGGTGTGTGATTCAGTCCAGGTTTCAGACTTGAGTCTCCATCTCTGGCACTGGCAGCTTATTACTACAGGTTTACTACTACAGAGCTACAGGCAGTAAAGGTAACACGTACATGTCTGAGTAACAGCCATAACAACAAGGAGGAAAACATCAACGTTGTACTATCTGTGATATTGGGTTTTTCTCAACGCCTGTTCTTTGGTTATAGTGTGATCTTCTACCCAGCATTTACTGGCTGATGTAGCTCTGTGTTGACGAGTGTGGGTAGTGAGGGACGAGATGTGCGAAATGAG